TTAGTTCTGCCTATCCATGAACAGGGTATATTTTTCCATCTTCTAAGATCTTCTTCTATTTCTCTCTTTAGGGTTCTGTAGTTTTCATTGTATAAGTCTTTCACCTCTTTTGTTAGGTTGATTCCCAAGTATTTTATTTTTTTTGAAGATATTGTGAATGGAGTGGTTGTCCTCATTTCCATTTCAGAGGATTTGTCGCTGATATACAGGAATGCCTTTGATTTATGCGTGTTGATTTTATATCCTGCCACTTTGCTGAATTCATTTATTAGCTCTAATAGTTTCTTTGTAGACCCTTTTGGGTCTGCTAGGTATAGAATCATGTCATCTGCAAATAGTGATAATTTAAGTTCTTCTTTTCCTATTTTGATGCCTTTAATTTCTTTCGTCTGTCTAATTGCTCTGGCCAGTGTTTCGAGAACTATGTTGAACAGAAGTGGTGAGAGAGGGCATCCCTGTCTTGTTCCAGATTTTAGAGGGAATGCCTTCAATTTTTCTCCATTCAGAATGATGCTAGCCTGAGGCTTAGCATAGATTGCTTTTACAATATTGAGGTATGTTCCTGTTATCCCTAGTTTTTCTAGAGTTTTGAACATAAAGGGATGCTGTACTTTGTCGAATGCTTTTTCTGCATCTATCGAGATGATCATATGGTTCTTATTTTTAAGTCTATTGATGTGGTGAATAACATTTATTGATTTCCGTATATTGAACCAGCCTTGCATCCCAGGGATGAATCCTACTTGATCATGGTGCACAATTTTTTTGATATGTTTTTGTATCCGATTCGCCAGAATTTTACTGAGGATTTTTGCATCTAGGTTCATTAGAGATATTGGTCTGAAGTTTTCTTTCTTTGAAGTGTCTTTGTCTGGTTTAGGAATCAGGGTGATGTTGGCCTCGTAGAATGAATTTGGAAGTTCTCCCTCTTTTTCTATTTCCTGAAGTAGCTTGAAAAGTATTGGTATTAGTTCCTCCTTAAAGGTTTTGTAAAACTCTGCTGTATACCCATCCGGTCCTGGGCTTTTCTTAGTTGGTAGTCTTTTGATGGTTTCTTCTATTTTCTCATTTGATATTGGTCTGTTTAGGTTGTCTATATCCTCCTGACTCAATCTGGGCAGATCATATGACTTAAGAAATTTATCGATGCCTTCACTATCTTCTAATTTATTAGAGTATAAGGATTCAAAATAATTTCTAATTATCTTCTGTATTTCTGAAGTGTCTGTTGTGATATTGCCTTTTTCATCCCGTATGCTAGTAATTTGAGTTCTCTCTCTTCTTCTCTTTGCTAGCATCGCTAAGGGTCTGTCGATTTTGTTTATTTTTTCAAAGAACCAACTTTTAGTTTTGTCAATTTTTTCAATTGTTTCTTTTGTTTCGATTTCATTAATTTCAGCTCTGATTTTAATTATTTCTTGCCTTCTACTTCTTTTGCTGTTGTTTTGCTCTTCTTTTTCTAGGATTTTGAGATGAAGTATGAGATCATTTATTTGTTGGTTTTTTCTTTTTTTAAGGAATGAACTCCAAGCAATGAATTTTCCTCTTAGAACTGCTTTCAATGTGTCCCATAGATTCCGATATGTTGTGTCTGTGTTTTCATTTATCTCTAAGAATTTTTTAATTTCCTCCTTGATGTCTTCTATAACCCATTGATCATTCAGTAACCTATTGTTCATTCTTCAAGTGATGCATGATTTTTCCTTCCTTCTTTTATCATTGATTTTCAGTTTCATTCCATTATGATCAGATAAGATGCATGGTATTATCTCTACTCCTTTATATTGTCTAAGAGTTGCCCTGTGACATAATATATGATCTATTTTTGAGAAGGATCCATGTGCTGCTGAGAAAAAAGTGTAACTGTTTGATGTTGGGTGGTATATTCTATATATGTCAATTAAGTCTAGGTTATTAATTGTGTTATTGAGTTCTATAGTTTCCTTATTCAACTTTTGTTTGGAAGATCTGTCCAGTGTGAGAGAGGTGTGTTGAAGTCTCCCATGATTATTGTATGGTGGTCTATTAGACTCTTGAACTTGAGAAGAGTTTGTTTGATGAACATAGCTGCACCATTGTTTGGGGCATATATATTTATGATTGTATGGTTCCCTTGAGCAGTATGTAGTGTCCCTCTTTATCCCTTTTGATTAACTTTGGCTTGAAATCTATTTTATTTGATATGAGTATGGACACTCCTGCTTGTTTCCGAAGTCCATATGAGTGATATGATTTTTCCCAACCTTTCACCTTCAGCCTATGTATGTCTTTTCCTATCAAATGCGTCTCCTGTAGGCAGCATATTGTTGGGTCTTGTTTTGTGATCCATTCTACTAGCCTGTGTCTCTTAATTGGTGAGTTTAATCCATTAACATTTAGGGTTATTATTGAGATATGGGTTGTTCTTCCAGCCATATTTGTTTATTTATGTTACTAAACATGGTTTGTTTTCCTCTTTGATTATTTTCCCCCCTTTAGTGTCTTACCTCCCACTGTTGGTTTTCATTGTTATTTTCCATTTCCTCTTCCTGTAATGTTTTGCCGAGGATGTTTTGAAGAGATGGTTTTCTAGCTGCAAATTCTTTTAACTTTTGTTTATCGTGGAAGGTTTTAATTTCATCTTCCATCCTGAAGCTTAATTTCGCTGGATACACAATTCTTGGTTGGAACCCATTTTCTTTCAGTGTTTGAAATATGTTATTCCAGGATCTTCTAGCTTTCAGAGTCTGTGTTGAAAGATCAGCTGTTATCCTGATTGGCTTACCCCTAAATGTAATCTGCTTCCTTTCTCTTGTAGCTTTTAAAATTCTCTCCTTATTCTGTATGTTGGGCATCTTCAGTATAATGTGTCTAGGTGTGGATCTCTTATGATTTTGCACATTCGGCGTCCTGTAGGCTTCTAGGATTTGGGATTCTGTCTCATTCTTCAAGTCTGGGAAATTTTCTCATATTATTTCATTGAATAGATTGCTCATTCCTTTGGTTTGAACCTCTATCCCTTCCTGTATCCCAATGACTCTTAAGTTTGGTCTCTTTATGTTATCCCATATTTCTTGGATGTTCTGCTCATGGTTTCTTAACAGTCTTGCTGAGCTGTCTATGTTCTTTTTCAAGTTGAAATACTTTGTCTTCATTGTCTGATGTTCTATCTTCTAAGTGTTCTACTCTGCTGGTAGTATTCTCAATTGAGTTTTTAAGTTGGTTTATTGCTTCCTGCATTTCTAGGATTTCTGTTTGTTTGTTTTTTATAACCTCTGTCTCCCTTTATAGTTGATCTTTTGCTTCTTGGATTTGTTTATGTAATTCATTGTTGAAGTGATCTTTCATTGTCTGATTTTGCTGTCTGATGTCTTCCTTGAGACTCCAGATCATCTGAAGCATGTATATCCTGAATTCTTTATCTGACATTCCATCTGCTGCAGATATTACCTCTTCTAAAGTTGAGTTGACCTGCATTGCTTGTGGTCCTTTCTTTCCTTGTCTCTTCATACTGTTCGCGTTTCTTTCTGCTTGGTGAAACTGTTGTGCTATTGAATTTTCCCCCTATATATTTATATTGCTCTTGTATAGTTGCAAAGTCTCCCTTGCAGGCGCAGGCAGCGGCTCTGCCCCTCCACCAATTGGGGCAATGTGCCTACCACGCCGGCAGGTCGCTGGGCCTGTTCTGCCGGTCAGTAGCAGGTCCGCCTACCTTGCAGCCGCGGGCGGCGGCTCTGCCCCTCTGCGGGCCGCTGGGCTTGTTCTGTCGGTGGTCGCAGTTCTGCCTACTTTGCAGGCGCGGGCAGTGGCACTGCCCCTCTGCAGGCCGCTGGGCCTGTTCTGCCGGTGGGTCGCAGGTCACCTACCTTGCAGGCGCGGGGGGGGGGGGCGGCTCTGCCCCTCAGCACGCCGCTGCGCCTGTTTTGCCGGTGGGTCGCAGGCCCGCCTACCATGCAGGCATGGTTGGCAGCTCTGCCCCTCCGCGGGCCACTGGGCCTGTTCTGTTGGTGGTCACAGTTCCGCCTACCTTGCAGGCACGGGGCCATGACTACTTCTTGCTTCAATCTTCTGGAGTTTTATGGCTCCGAATTATGTAAGTAAGTTACCTTATCCACAATTCCTTACTAGCTAGCTTATTTCTATCCAAAGGTTCTACCTTGATCTGAGATTTTTTTTGGGTTCTGTAGGAAGGCATCTGAGCTTAGTCTTCTGATGATTGAATATGCATCCTTTTTCTCATCCTGGGTACAAATCCAGGCCCTACAAGATCATCCTGTTCTCTGACTGAAAAATTCACGGTTCTGACCATCTCTCCAAGTTCTCTCTGGTGACCCATTCATGAGTCTCAATCTTGAGTATAACTCCAAGCATGTGATATACAGTGTTAGTGATAGCAATAAAGGAGACTGGCATTTTTCAATTTGTAGTAAGTAAGGATCCTCCATAAAAGTCTTCAGTGCCTCTTAAAGAAGAGCTAAGACCACTTGTCTCATTGCTGAAATTTGCCATTTGTTCTGCTATCATGAAGCAGCTGCATTTGTAAGAATCTTACATCATCAAAATCTTGATATAAAAACAATTGTTTGAACGAGAAAAAGGGGTTAAAGTTTGGATAATATCCAACCCATAATTCATATGTTTTTTTCCAATAAAAGTTTTTTTTAATAGCTAAGAATGTATTAATACCTGCTTTGACTACATATAGCATTTGCTGTGCAATAATGGTGTTTGATTTCTTCATTTCCTACACTATCATTAGCCAAAAAGCTTCCCACCATTCTATTTCCTCTGTCATGTATTGTTATAATAAATCAAACACAAGCCTCCCAGATAAACCCACTGTTATAGGACCAGTTTCTCTTGGGCTACGAGACTAGTTCCAGGACCAGTATAATAACGGTATTCCTAATCCAATTTGTTTAAAAAGCAAAACATAATACCCCCAAACCTGTAATTTTCTCAGATCTAGATAGTCTATATCGAACAATAACACTTGTGTGACTCCTCTCCCCCTGAATCAGGTGATGCAGGCCCAGTGTGTCAAAACAGAAACTGAATTCTATCGCCGCAGTCGCAGTGAGATAGTAAATGGAGAAGGACACACCATGGGGGCACTATATTGGCAGTTGAATGACATCTGGCAGGCTCCTTCCTGGTCTTCTCTAGGTAAGTGTTTCAGTGTTCTTTGTGTGTGAGAGCGAAAGCAATACCTGCGGGGAGAGGGAATTAGAAAGCTCAGAGCCTGAGGGATCAGATTAACCCAAGCAGAAGTGAGGCCAAGGGAGGCCGTTCTCCACCAGGCTGTGGACTACAGCCACCCCACTCATCTAATGATCTGTCTCTCCAAGAGCCCTAGAGGTAGTTCATGAGTCGTGTTTTGTGAAAAGTCACAATAGCAGGCTGGTAAGGGATGGGAAGTCACAATAGCAAGCTAATAAGGAATATGCAAAGACCTCAGTCCTGTGTCTTACAATTATATTGCGTAGAATTTTGAGTTTATTTAAGAGGACATTCCAGGGCCAAAGAGGCATGAACTTAAGCATCCCTCCTGAACTTAAGTGTATGTAGGAGAATCCAACCACATGGAAAATTGGCCTCCTTGAGCATTAATGTGCCCATTTTTCTGACTGCGCTTTAAATTCATAAAATCATCTTCATTTTACCCTGTTTATTTTTTGGGGAGAGAAGGTAGTAAAATACTAACTGAACCAGTTCAGTTAGCCAAAGGTGAGAAGACTGGCATGGAACTTGAAGTTTGGATGATCCCATCTATTTTGGTACATTAAAAAATTAAGGAGAAATAATATATCTTTGGCCTTTACTAGAGGTGATTTGAAGCAAAGTTTAGTTTGTAATATAAACAGTTGTTTGGGTCAAAATCGAGGCAAGGCCATAGAATAAAAAGGCCATTTGGCTGGGGGAGGCTCTTAAACTGGTTATGGATGCAAATCCAAAAGGGTTCATTCCAAACATGCTTTTATTAGTGCCAAATGGATAACTCCTACAGGGAATTGGATTTTTGATCATGTTTCTCTTACTGAACTCTTTTTATCAGCACTAACCACATAAAAGAGCATTGAGTGAGAATTGCATAGACTGTGAGGGAATGGCTGAGATGCTAGAAAGGTGGACAAAAAGATATTGTTCCGAGACACTTGGATGCTGACCCTGCTTGCTATCTGTGGAAAGGGCTGTGAGCTTCTAAAGCTGAGTTGGTTCAAGAAACAGGAGAGTGCAGCCTTTGGAAATCTTACTTTAAATGGCTGCATGTGGATTATTTGTATGAGTCTTCAGGAAGGGTAGGTAGCTCCAAGTACAAGGGCATAAGGGCAGAGTAAGAGTTTGGCTGTTTTCTAAATTCCAGCAGGACCCTTCCTGCATGGAGAAGGTCATGGGCTCCTTATACTTATTAGAGAAAACAGGGACAGTTTAAGTATCTGAAATGATTGGGACCAGAAATATTTCTGATTTTGTGTGTATGTTTTGTTCATTTGGAATTTTCCTCTTATGGTGTCATAATGGAGCTCAAAAAGTTTTAGGTTTTGGAAAATTTTGGAGTTTGAATTTTGAGTTTAGGGATGCTCCACCTGTACCAGAGAGAGGCTATGTCTGTGTTTGCTATATCTGCTCCTGCTCTGGGCAGTCTCTTGGCTTCTGTTTAATTCTATTGAATTGGCTCAATAAATCCCCTGCTCATAGTGAGTGCAACTGGGGTTTTTGGGTCATCTCTTATTGCCTGAAATGGTGATACTTTAAAGGGCTCCATAGTGGCTTAGAATCTGTAGGTTTGAATATATTTCTTTAAAAATATTAAATTAAATTAGACTTAATTTAGAGTTTATTAAATTAAATTAGACTTAATTTAGAGTTACAATTTTGCAAATAAAAAAATCCACATGGGCATTTTTGCTTCATTCATAAATTTGAAAAGTCATAGAGCTAATGGCAAAGCCAGATATCACATGACATTTGTAGGCTGTTAGCCAAACTTTAATACTGATTAGTAACATGGAGTGTATATCAGTGAGACCTTTTGCTTGAATTCCTGTTCTCCTGAGTGTATTCTGTATGTGGCCTTGACCTCTGGAACTACCCATTTACAGTCTTTCCCCTGCCATGGATATCACACATCAGAGTGTATAGTTACCTCAGGAGCCATCTTCTACAAAGGAGAGGACTTTTCAAATGTGAGTTCTTGTTCATTTTATTTTATTTATTTTTGGTACTAAGGATTGAACCCAGAGGTACTTAACCACTGAGCCACATCCCCAGCCCTTTTGGTTTTTTGAGACATGGTCTCTCTAGGTTGCTTAGGGCCTAGAGAGAATATAGCTTTGAATTTGAGATCCTCCTGCCTCAGCTTCTTGAGCTGCTAGGATTACAGGCGTGCACCACCACACCTGGATCTTGTTCATTTTGTACATCTGATAGAAAAACTTCTCTACCTTGCATGTCTTCCCGCCACTTGTTGCTATGAGAAAGTACTAACATTCGGGGTTATAGAGAATGAAATTTTGCAAAACTCCAAAGAAACTGGTTCTGTTATTCTTCTACCTCAACAGTTTGCACTATGTATCCGGGTGTTTCTTCCCTGGTGATTGTGCTACGTTCCAGGCTGTGTTTCATGGTCTTTACTCTTACTTTAGCAGCAACCCTGAAGTGTTTTCATCTATGTTTTAAAAGTGAGAAAATCAGTTTAAAGAGGTTAAGCAACCAGCTCAAGGCTCTGAGCTAGGGAGCATTGGATCCTGGTTGAAATATTCCAATTTTGACTTTTTAAGTATAGTCTATTAATCACTCCATTCCCTTTGATTTATTGCTTCAAAGCAGCTTAATCATGAAATCTCTTTATAATTGCCAAGAAAAAATAGGATGATTAGGATTTGTTCTTACAAAAATTGTGCAACTGGAAAATTTTTGGTACCTGTCTAGCTGATTAAAAAAACCTCCCCATTCTTTTCTCCCTACACATACTAACTGACGATATTTTTATAGAAAGTCTCATTCTCTGTTTTTAGCAAAATTTAAATTTGTTTTATATTTTTAGATCATTGAGAAAGACTCCTTCACCCTTCTTCTTCCTCTTTTTCTCCCTGTCTCTGAAATTTGGTAATGTAATGTTTTGTGGGAAAGGGTCTTCATTCTGAAATGTCAAATGTTGAGAAAGGAAGGTGTTAAAAGCTTAGGTTTGGGGATTTAATCTACAAGACCTGCCAAAGAGACAAAGAATTTTACAGATTCTTGACAGTTTCTGATTGCATTTGAGGAACTGCTATTAATTGCCATTGGTCTGGATGTTTTCATCCAGTGTGACCTTGACACCACATTCACACCGTGCTTAGTTTGGTTTGCTCAGAGGTTTTTGTGCCTATGGAAAAAGGAGACTTTGAGTTCTAAGTAATTCTTATAAATGAATATTTGCAACAGGTGTTCACTGCCAAGGCGACCTTCTCCTTTATGTGTTTGTGGTAAAAAGGAAAATTGAGCTCCTGAAGCAGAGTCACCTGTACATGTTGTCTAGGAACCGGGCCTGGCTCAAAACACCACCTCTAGCATATTTTGAGTTCACTCCCAAGCCTCTGTTTCCTCCTTCGGAAAGTGAGTTATTATTGCCTGCCTCACTCAGATGTTGTGAGAGTGGTATCCAAAATGCCTGATCAGAGACTTTAACAAACTGGGGTGCCCTCCGTTGTCAACTCCCTCACATGCTCATTCCAGAAAATCCTGATGAGCCACACACAACTGGACCATGTGCACAAGGTCGCTGAATGCTTGACCCTGCCTTCCCCTAACTCTCTTGATTATTTTCAGAGTATGGAGGAAAGTGGAAAATGCTGCATTACTTTGCTCGAAATTTCTTTGCTCCACTGTTGCCAATAGGCTTTGAGGATCAAGGTATATTTTATGTCTATGGTGTGTCGGACCTTCACTCAGACTCTAAAGTGCAGCTCACTGTAAGTCACTTGGATTTTTTTTTTTTCTCTCTAAGATAAAGGAGGACTTTCAGATGATTATTTCCTTAGTTGTTTGGATATATTGCTGTTGGGACCAAAAAAAAAAAAAAGAGAGAATTAATTGTATCAAAATATTTTTAGTGCCTGTAGCAGAAAATGGGTTGTACTTGGAGTCAGAAATATAGTCTATTATTCAGGCTAAACCTGCCATTTTTATTACATGACCTTGAGCAAAACCCTGAACATCTTGATGAGTCCTCTGTAAAATGATACCAGCCTACCTCTTTTAAGGATTTCCATGAACAGTGAATAAAGGAGATAGATGAAAGCAGGTTATATAAGTGTCAAGTGCCACATAAATGTAAGATTATTTATAATTATGAGGAGCAGGAAGTAGTCCAGATTTTGCAAAAATAGTTTAAAAATGGTATGTTAAAAATTGAAATCAGTAAAACTATCCAGAATGAGTGCGAAGGGGAAACAATAACAACAACAACAACAACCACCACCTTGTTTTTAAAACAGGGGTAGAAGCTCCATGTCTCTGGTGGCTACAGCTTGGAAGGACACTGGAAGTAGGTCATATTCATAGAATCCTTGCAGTGTGCCGGGTAGTGCCCTTTCAGGGATTATTTTTTAAATTCTCACCCCAACCTGTGAAGTTAGAGCTGTTATTATTTCCATTTTATCTATGAAGAAATGGAGACTGGCAAGTTGAGTGACATGGTCACATAACTCAATGCGTCTGGGATTGACATTCAGGTCTCATAGTGTCTCAACCAGTTCTGCTCTTCTGACTCTCAGCTATTAGTACCATGATTATTCTTTTTTTTTTTTAATTTTAATATTTTATTTCTTAGTTTTCGGTAGACACAACATCTTTGTTTGTATGTGGTGCTGAGGTTCGAACCCGGGCAGCGCGCATGCCAGATGGGCGCGCTACCGCTTGAGCCACATCCCCAGCCCCTACCATGATTATTCTTGAAAAACATAATAACCAAGAATGTTTTTATTGTTTTATTTCTCCCCAGGTGAGAATCCATGCATGGAATTCCCTGACACCTTTGTACTTCACTGTGACTAAACCTTTTGTCCTCAAAGCCGGGAAGGCTGTGTCCATCTATGAGCAACCAGTGAATACATTGCTGAAGACATGTGGGAATTGTACCCGACAAAACTGTGTGGTTTCCTTTTACCTTTCAACTGACCGTAAACGCGTTAGCCCCACCAACTATCACTTCCTGTCTTCTCTGAAGAATGCCCAGGGGCTCCTCAAGCCCCAGATCACAGTAAGCATGGTGGCTTTGTGGAGCGCCCTGTTCTTGTGCCAGCGCATTGCATCCTGCAACTTGCCAGTTTCCTTCTTGGTAGTGAGTTGACCTGAGCCCTGGGCAAGATGGACTCCGTCCCACTGGAAGCAAAGACCAAATGAGTTTCTTTATTTCTAATTCAGGATTTGTCAAGAGTTTTCAGTTTCTGCTGCTTGTCCTGACTCCTCATCCTTCCCTAGTGAGGCTGGTACAGTGGTGGGAGAGAAGGCTTCGTCCATCCTCACTGATTAACTTTCACTAGGTTCCAGGCTCTGTTCTAGGTACTTTGTTGCATGATAAATCTCTTAACTTTCACAGCAACCCTGAGGTGTGAACTTTTGTGTTTTATGAGTAAGAAAACTTGTTCAGAGAACTTAGACAACAAGCTCAAGGTCCTAAGCCTACGAAAGCTTGGAGCCCAGTTGACGCACTCCAAATTTTGACTTTTTAAGTCCAATCTATTAATCACTCCTCTTTCTTTTATTTATTGCTTCAAAGCAGTTTAATCACCAAATCACTTTGTAATTTCCAGGGGGAAAAAATAGAATGATTAGGTTGTGTTGTTACAAAATTTGTGCAGCTAGAGAATTTGGACTCTGTCTAATTGATTGAAAACCTTTCCATCTTTTCTTCCTACATATAGTAGCAGACAGAATCTTTCTAGAAAGCTGATTCTTTATTTTTAACAACCTTTGTTTTATGCTTTTCCTTTATTGAGAAAGATTTTTTAAATTGACTTTAGAAATAGTGATATAAAAACACCTAGTCCTATGTTTTATTGAAAGAGCCCTGACAATTGAGAACATAGGTTCTTTTTGGATTGATAGTGAAATTTTCCATAATGAAATCTAAGTTATCTGTAACAACTGAGATAGAACAGACAGACACGAAAGAAATGACATAGCCAGGCATGGTGGTACATGCCTGTAATCCCAAAGAGTTGGGAGGCTGAGGCAGGAGGATTGAAAGGTGGAGGCCAGATTTAGCAATGTAGTGAAACCCTGTCTCAAAACGGGGAGAGTGAGGGATGGGGATGTAGCTCAATGGTAAAATATTCCTGGGTTCAATCCCCAGTACAAGAAGAAAAAAAATGACATAGCTTACATTTCATCTAGCAAAGAAAAAAAATACTGAACAAATTTGTCGTTTCTAAACTTATGACTCTGAAAACAAAAACTTTTCTCTTTTAGCTAAGGCCTTTATTTCCTAGAGTTAATTGAGGTACAAGAGAGATAGGGCTTCTTTATTTGTCTTTCCTGACTTGCATTTCAGTGAGACTTGTCCATCCTAAAGAGATAACAACAATAGTAATAATATTAGTTAACATTTATTCAGGCTCACTATAGGTCCTTGTTCTCCTGGTCTTTCTGAAGCCCGGGTACAAGCTTGAGCTTCTGGTTCTGCAGTCAGAGGCCCAGAGATGAGATTTCCTATTAGAAGAAGTCAGCAAGAGTGAGCGAGGTGCTGTGTTGGGTCTCTTGTGGCCTTGGCTTTGCACAGCAGTAGCTAAGGCTTCCCTGGCCCCCTCTGGGCTGGCTAGGGTTTGTTGAGTGCATGGCTGCTTTAGGGTCTTCACCAGGTAGAACTTGGCATCTAACCTCGAGCCTGAGTCTCAGAGCCTCCTAGAGTTCCCTCATGCACTTTATTCAGGTCTTTTACTGCTTCTATCAATGTCGGTTTTCTTGTTTATAACTTGAACGATAATTACTTGAATGATTATGTACAGTAAAAATTGTCTTTTGAAATTCTTTATGCCCCACACATATAATAAAGACTTTATAGTGTAATGTGCATGCATGTTGAGGAGCCGTGTTCTGTGACAAATGCACAGCTTTAAAGACCAGGTCACATTTGATTCTTTGCTCTTCTGAGAAAGGCTCACAAGCCTGTGGCCTCTGGGGAGTGGCTCATCCTCTCTCTGGGGCTTATGCTCAGTCAGCTAATTAAATGGAATGGGTCTAGAGGATTCTCTCTCTCACTCTGTCTGCTGAAATTGTATAGAATTTGCACATGCTAATAATGTGACTTTACTAAAAAGACAGAGAATGGTAGAGCTTTTGCAGTTGCTTGGCCGATTAGCTTCTAGAACGCGGGCCCTTTTCAGAAGGCTCTAATGTACACTCCATGGCTGCACTCTCTAGCTAGATCCACATCTATTAAAATTACATGTGGTCATTAAAAATAGCCAGCCCTATGCCAAAATGTTCTCTCCTTGATGCTCCTCTGAGAAAAATTATAAAATATATAAAACTTTGGGCCTGTTTTGAAATAGTCTCCTTCACCAGAGGAGTCTGCATGTTTCCTCGGTGTGAGATTACAACTTGGTCATGTTCCACAGACCTAAGTCATTTTCCAAGTGATGTTCAAGCATCTGAAACCATGCATGGAATATATGACTTTAACAGTGGCAAAACGAAAGCACTGGCAACGTGCTCCTTACCAGGCCCTCGTTAAAGTCCTGGTAGACATTGCCGTGGGCTATGTAGTTCTTCATTCAACCTTCACTTCATTTTTGTTTCTTTTTTCCAGGCCAGCATCTCTCAGCAAGGTGACACTTTTGTGTTTGCTCTGGAAACCTCAGCTATTGCTCCCTTTGTTTGGTTGGATGTAGGAAGCATCCCAGGGAGATTTAGTGACAATGGTTTCTTTATGACCAAGAAGACACGAACTGTATTATTTTACCCTTGGAAACCTACCACCAAGTATAAATTGGAGCAGTCTTTTCATGTGACCTCCCTGGCAGATATTTACTGAAGGAATCTGGCTGTATTTTCAGTGTACACTGGGAACAAAGCCTTTCTTGAGCAGCGGCTGGAGAGGAAGACCCCCTGAGAGAAGCCGAGGAAACAAGAGGTGCATCTGCTTATTCACATGTGTCTGACACTCTCTCAATTGGTACAGTGCATACTGTCAGGGAAGGCTGTTCCTCCAGTGATGGCCTCAGACAAGGCTGTCCTAGGTGTTCTTTTTTGCTGTTGTTGTTTTGCTGTTCTGTGGGTTGAACCCAGGGTGCCCTACCACTGAACTATAACATCAGCCCTTTTTATTTTTTCATACAAATAATAAATGTTCTTAATAAAAATTGAACTCGCAATTTTCCTGCCTTAGCCTCAATGGGGATTATAGACAGGTGCCACCGCACCTGGTTTAGGTATTCTTGAATCTGTGCAAGAACTGTTTAGCCCTTCAATATACAGCTTTAGTACTAAATGAACCAGTGTCAAGCAGATTACCTTTCAGGGAGTCATAAGAACATGACCATGGTAATGTCTACTGAGCCAAGTGTGGGAGGTTTTGAGGTAATTGTAGGCCTTTCATAGGTAGCCTTGAGAAATACTGAATTATTAAGATGAAGTGTTTTGTTATTATTTCCAGAGGAAATGGAGGGTCAAATGTCACAATAGAGATTTCTTGGTGGCACCCATATTGATTATTGTTGCTGAACAGTTTAGAAGGTTGATTGTTGGTATTTGATTCCTATTCTGGGGTGGGATTCTTTTTTTCATTTTGGGATTTGTTATAAAACATTTTTAACAACAAATTATTTTTGAAAAGAATCCTTCTTTGAAAAATAAGCTCACATTGACATGGACATTGCTATGTTCATGCTGGAAATTTTGAGATATTCTGACATGGGGCTTGTGTGTGGGCTTCAGATTTGGCTAAATTCAGTGAACTTTCTGATTCAACAATACTGAATATAGACTTCCTGGCTCTGGCACCAAGTGGTATTTCCTTTAGCTTAAGTTTAAATCAGTTTATTTATATTGATTAATTATAAGTTGCTATAAAGGTACTTTATGACACATTATCATATCAATATGGGTATGTTGATAATAAAATGGGGCAAAATGTTAATAAGTGACTAAATTGGGTATAGATGGGTATGTGAAATTTTTTTGTACTACTTTTACACTTTTGCTGTAAGTTTGAATGATAAAAATAAAAGTTAGATAAATTGCACTGACAATTTGATAGTTCATCTGTGGCCTATTTAATCATTCTAAAAATATTCCATTGAGCCCATTATTGAGATGTACACTAATTTCTGCTTGATAAATGGGAGAATTTGAAGAATCTAAAAACTAAGATGTTTGAGAGATTTTTCTATGGAAAGAATCATGTAATTGGTTATGGAATGGACCAATAGTGAAGGCTTAGATTTAAAATTGAGTCTTAATGTTTTTTTATTTTTAAATTTTAATTAATTAATTTTATTTTTATTTTTTTTGATACCAGGAATTGAACCCAGGGGCACTTACCCACCGAACCATATCCTCTGTCCTTTTATTTAGAAACAGGCTCTTGCTGAGTTGCTTAGGACCTCACTAAATTACTGAGGCTGGCTTTGAACTTGTGATTCTCCTGCCTCAGCCTCCCAAGCCACTGGAATTATAGGTGTGCACCACCACACCTGGCTGGTTTTGGTTTTAAAACAGAAGCATTAGGTTCAGTAACTTGGAAAAGAATATAAGTACAGATATTCCAGTCCTGTCCTTCAGTATTTAAGAGTTTTCTCATCTCTGTGCTTACACACACACACAGACACACAGGCTTATCAAGGACTGGACCTGAGAAAGGAGGACACTGTTCACTGTTCTTCATTAACCACGAAGATTCTATGACAGGGGCCCTGTGAAGTGGGCTTGGAAGTTGATGAACCAGAGTTTACATAGCAAATCTGCCCTTAATACTTCTTCAACCTTAAACAAGTTACTTAACCTCTATGTTCAATTTTCTTGTCCTAAAATGGGAATAATAACACATATCTTGTAATTTTGTTTTAGAGAATAAATAAAGTAACTTAGATGAAGGGCCTGGCCCCTGCAGGCCCTCAGTATGGTCCTACGCCTGGTGTCCTGGAGAGGGCAGAGTTTTCAGCCACATTTCTCTGGATTTAAATCCATATTCTGAGACTTATTAGCTGTGTGATTTGGGGCAACAATTTGACCTTCTGGACTTTAGTTTTTTCCTCTCTAAAATGTAGATAATAATCCCTGACTGTCAAAGGTAGTACTGAGAACAAATAGGGTCTAGAACAAAATAAGTTGCACTTTTATTGTGATTGTACGTTTTGAAATAATCATTATAATCCAACTAGTGCATGAAGCAATGAAAATAAAGCAAATATAGACACATTCCTTCAGAAAAAGATATCATAAAAGAATAATTTGTAAAAGCAGAATAAATAGGCATAAACACATGCTGACAACTACTTACAAAAAGGAGAGAAGTGTGCCTATGGCATTTTTGAGAGAATAGTAATAGTCAAACTGTTCTTCCACAGTTCACATGTTACAGGGTAGATAGTTACTGTTAGCATTTTAATAGATTTTTGTTGCCACATTTGCTGGGGTTGAATTTGATATACTTACCCCTCAGCCTTAGGTTTCTGAGAAATTTTTTGTTAGTAACTGTATAAACAAGAGACCAGGTTCAGGTCCTAGCTGTGTTCTTTCAAAGGACATTCCAGAGAGCGGAATAAAGAGAGGTCAGTTCACAGGATTATATCTTCCCATTCCAGGACAGGGAAAACAATAAAAATGGTAATTTCCTCATTCACATTCACTATAACTGTTATTCTCTCTTTTTCTCTTATTTGACTTTTCACTGTGAGACATTTTCAAACCTTGGGAAGTCACTTGGAAAATACATAGAAAGATTTTTTTCTCTATTGGAGTGAAGGTGAACTGGAGTGCAAGAGAAATAAAGATATGTTTCCCCGGCTTTCCTCAAGTGACAAAGACCTGAGACAGAAAGAATATTCTCTTGGGCTGCCTCCAGCTCTCAGATATGAAACCTATTCCCCAGCTTGGTAAGATTTAGGGAAAAGAACAAGTAAGCATTGTTTCTGTGGGAAATTCAAAGCATTTGATAATATTCCAGAGTTCCCCTTGACTGAATGCAATCTTATCAATTCAATTAGCACAGGAAATTAAAAGGATTATGCTGGAAAAGGCATTTAGTAATATTTCCAAGTGAATGGAAGAATTCTTATTTTTCTCATTGATTTATCAGAGGTAGGAACCAGAAGATATACAAAATTCTAAAAGTCACAGACAAAACTGGTGTTAAGATGCATTTATATTCTGACCCTAAAAACTGTTTACTTAAGATTTATTCATTCATTTTCAAGCATTTATTATGGATCACTGTTGACAAGCACTGTCCTTGTCACTAGGCGATGAGAGGAGAAGACAAGTCCCTGCTTTGGTAAACCATTCTTGTAAGGGAGACAGACAATAAGCCAGACAATGAATAAGGCAACTGCAGTTGGTGCCAAGTCCTATAAGGTTAAGGTGATATGGAGGGACAACCATGTTAGATAAGGCCATCTTGTTCAACACTTGAGGACAGCTGGGCACGGTAGCACATACCTGTAATTCTAGCGGCTCGGGAGGCTGTGACAGGAGGATTGCAAGTTCAAGGCCAGCCTCAGAAACGTAGCGAGGCCCTAAGCAACTTAGCAAGACCCTTTCTCAAAAAAATAAAAATAAAAAAGGGCTGGGAATGTGACTTGGTGGTAAAGCACATCTGGTTTCAATCTGTAGTATCAACAAAGCAAAAAGAAAAGGTGTTTTGGAAAGTTTATGATAAAAAAAAGTTTAATTGAGAAATGAGTCTTTAAAGACCTTCATTACAGAACTTTTTCTTAGAAGAAAAGTTTGCAATGATAATATAGTTGAACTCCTTTGGTTGGTCTCAGTCTTTAAACGAGGTTTGTTGAGTTTCCCCTTGTGATATGTCATGCCATGCAGTGAGTAGTAAAAATGACTATGATGCTTAGAATTACCTAGAGCTCCCTGGACATGGTACATTCCCAATCATGGACTTTCCTATTACAGAGCTAGCACGGATTCCTGCCTCATAATACATGTGGGAGCACCCTCTTCTTATTCTGTTATTGTTGTTCATTATGGATTTTATAAACTTCATTGGGTCCTAGGAGACCATCCACACATTCCCAGTAGTTGGAGCAGCTTCTGCTGGCTGACTACCAGTCAGGTGCTTCTCTGCTCCAACCTCAGGAATTGGATCATAATTTGTTCCACTTAATCCTATTCTTCTTTGCCCGGGATTGGTGTAGAGTTAAGTATGTGACACAATTCTGGCAAATGAAACACCAGTTGATGTTCTGGGGGATGAGTTTTCCTGCCCGATGAGAGACCTGAAGTGAAACCTGCTGTTGGGTGAAGTTGAGAAGCTACAGTTTGAGGACCTGATACTTGGAGCCTTGTTGTGACCTTGAATGTTATTGACACGCAGGGATGGCAGAGATATTAAGCTGCTAAACTAACCCTGCAACCATCTTAGTTTTGCTCTTATTTTTTGAACAATTTTTTTATCAGCACGTGATAATTATACATAAAAGTGTCACTGTGACATATTTGTAATGCACATAATGTAATTTGGTCAGTGTCATTCTCCAGTATTTCCTTTTTCTCTCATCTGCACCCCCCACCCCCGTCCTCTTTTTCTACTATTTTCATGAGATTTCCCCCTCGCTTTATTCCCCCTTTGCCCTCTCTAGCTTCCACATATGAGAGAAAACATACAACTCTTGACATTCTGAGTTTGGCTTATCACTTAACATAAAGCTCTCATGTTCCAATCCATTTTTTTTTTTGCAAATAACATAATTTCATTCTTCATTTTGGCTGAGTTAAACTCCATTGTGTGTATATATCACGTATTCTTTACCCATTCATCCATTGACCGACATCTAGGCTAGTTCCATAACTTGGCTATTGTGGATTGTGCTGCTATAAACATGGGTATGCATGTATCATTATAGTATAATGACTTCAATTCTTCAGGATAAAAATTAAGGGGTGGTATCACTGGGTCATATGGTGGTCCCACATCTAGTCTTTTGAGGAAACTTCATACTGATTTCCATAGTGGTTGTTAACTTTGCTCTTCATATAACGCAATTTAAAAAAATATGGCCTTACTTTTTAAATCCAGTTAGTATCAGGTGTTCTGATTTTACAACAAAGAGCATCATAATTGATAGAGCAGTTAAAGATTATGAGCTTTGAAATCAGTGTGTTTGAATAACATTAACTCTAGCAGGCTCTTTAACATTGGATACAAGTTCTGAGTCTTTCTGTGCCTTAGTTTTTAATATTTAACCATGGGGATCGTACCAATGCCCACCTCATAGGTTGTAAGGACTAAATGAGATGATGCATAGATGTTGATAGAGCACACAATAGCTATGCAACAAATATGAGCTGTTATAGTTATCATTTGCCCCTGTGGTAAGCCATCAAAGCAAGCCTATGGAGGGGGACAGGTAGGAACCTGTGAAAGTATTGGATGGAGGGGAGAAAAGGAAGGTCAGGTCACATATAGGTCATATTTGACCAGCAGATGACAGCCAGACCATGGTTTTTAAAATTGAGTTATTTGCTAACATTTAAAGGGGGAAAATTTCATATATAATGTAGATCTTTCTATCTCTGACCTTGTAATGATATTTTTAAACAGCCCTTACTTTAAAAATTCACTGATAGCCAGGTGTTCTCATTTTCCAGTCAAGAGCATCCTCACAGATAAAGGTGAGGGCTTTGAGGTCAGATGTATAGCTGGGTCTTGGAGAGGGCAAGGTGGGGCCATTGGTTTCCCCTCAGCCAAGAGATATCTTGATCCCCTGCACCTGGATGTGGCAGTGGCTGTGATCTTTCTAGTGAGGAAGGCTGTTGGGGGCAGGGTTTTCCATGATGGGTGAGGGAAGGACCACTACTCTTTTGTAATGAGATGATCCCCAGCCCGAATTGGGTGATTGTTATACGTTTCTAGCCACATTATTGGTATTTGAACAGAAAGATTTTTAACTAGACAACTTACAAACACAACAACTGAGATTTCTCCTTGTAAAAGATCCATTTGTGTGTGTGTGTACATTTGTGTGTGTGTGTGTGCATGTGTACATGTGAAGAGTGTCTATAGTGTGCTGTGGCCATGGGCTCATGCTCTGATATTGAACCTGTTATTCTGGCTGTAACATGTACTGACTGACCTTGAACCAGTCACTTAATTTCTTTTTTTTTTAATAGTTATTTTTTGTTGTAGTTGGACACAATACCTTTATTTTATTTTATTTTTTATGTGGTGCTGAGGATTGAACCCAGGGTCTCGCACGTGCTAGGTGAGCGCTCTACCGATGAGCCACAACCCCAGCCCCAGTCACTTAATTTCTAAGCCTGAGTTTTCTTATCTTCAAGATGAGATTAATTCAATGACTATTTCATAGCATTATTGTGAGGATTCAATAAGATAAAGTTTTCCCAGTCCCCAGGACAGGATAAACAAGTAGTAAATGCAGGCTTACAATTACTCCTCCAAGGATAAGAACCCTACATCTGATCATTCCAGCCAGGGATCTCATATTCCCCTTGTCCAAAGTGAAAATCATTTAAGGATTCTTTACCAAAGGTTTTGTGACCTGAGTTGAAGGAGAAAATTCAGGCAGAAAGAGGGTTCTAATTCCTCCTCCTCCTCCTCCTTTTTTTTTAGTCAGGCTATTTCCAATTTTATCAAAGGAAAAAAAAAAAAGTAGAAGAGATGTGACAGCTGTTGGGTGATTGTGCAAAGTTCTGCTTCTTCCAGCAGAGGCCTCTTGTGTACAGGAAATGAGGCTAGTGGTGGGTGGAGGGGCAGTGCCCTGGGATGGATGGGTGCTGGCTTCGGAGGCTTCCCCAAGGACTGGGCTCTGCTGCCCTCAGGTGGGGAGGGGAGTGTAAGGGAGACCTCATGGGGCAGCAGGGACTTGGGTGGGGGGTCCCCTACCACCTCCCAGGGTTCAAGGAGCTGGGGGTCAGTGCTTGCCTTGGAATGCATGAATACAGAGGAGCTACTATAGTGAAGGAAAGAAAGAGAAAGAAAGGGAAGAAGGAAGAGATGAAGAAAAGAAGGGGGAGGGAGAGAGAGAAAGAGAAAGCTTGAGAGTGGGAGAAAGGACAAAGAGAAAGAGAAAGGGAGAAAGAAAAAGTGATAGAGAAAGGAAGAGAGAAAAATGAGCGATAGAGAAAGGAAAGGGAGAGAGAAATAAAGAGAAAGAGGAAGAGAGAGAGAGAGAGAGAGAGAGAGAGAGAGAGAGAAGGAGGGCAGGGAGGAAGGAGGAAGGGAAAGAAGGAACCCAGAGAGCAGCTATGCTCCCTGAGCTCCCCAGCTCTCCCTCTTCCTCTCTCTAAAGTTTAGTGATGCAGTGCTCTGTGGGGAAGGGTCTTCATTCTGAAATGAGATATGTTAGGAAAGAAATGTTAAAAGATTAAAATTTGGGATTTAACATACTGGGCCTGTCAACGAGACACAGAATTTTACAGATTCTTGACAACTTCTGATTGCATTTGAGGAACGGTTTATTAATTGCCATTGGTCTGGATGTTTTCCTCCACTGTGACCTTGACAGCCATATTTGCATAGTGCTTAGTTTGGTTTGCTCAGAGGGTTTTGTACCTATGGAGAAAGGAGACTTCTTCCCAGGCTCCAGAGCTAACAAGCTGGGAGCCAGCAGGGCATGTTAGAAAGGTTCAGATGTACAGAGCAACTTTTGCTGCTCTCTGCCTCTTGGTTCATTTCATTTCTGTCATAACCACCTTAGCAAAAAGGTAGCATCTGAGTGATTTTTAATTTAAATTTAATTACTATGGATCTCTGAAAACTTGGCACAAAGCCTCCAGAACAGATGATTGATGGGGGGTCAGGGGGAGTCAGATGAGCTGGAAAATGGCACAGTAGCAAAGCTATGGGAACAGACTAAAACCAAGTATTGTGGCATGATGTGAGGATCTTCTGCTGAGGAAAAGGCAGCGCGGAGGAGTCTTCTCTGGCCTGGCTTGGCCTCTTCTGTCTAAAGAAATGGGCTTGCGTCCTGTGGGTTACTTGCTTCCCACAGATTCCCTCCTTGTTGAAGCTTTAACCTAGAGTGCCTTTGGCTTTCATAACCAAAACTGTCCCTGGCCCACATGCTGTGTGCATATGCTGTTCATCATTCACGATGTGCAGTTGGCTGGGGTGAGGAAGGATGGGCCAAATGGTAGCTTTGACCTTCCCAGGTCAATACTGGAATGGAGAAGAATGCAAAGGGCTGCTTTTGCATCCGGCTGAGTAGTTCCTTCTTCTGTGAGCCTATGAGTACTTCCTGAGCACCACTATGCCCACCTTTTGGGGGAGGCAAAGTGACACTTGCTTCCATGGTCCCAGGAGTGACGGGAGAGACACAGGAGCTGTGGGATCTCCCAGAAGAGCACAGGAGGGTTTCTGGGCTTTGTGACAGGACTTGCCTATGGGGCTGTGGTGGGTCTTCACAGCAGTGTAATTTCTGGTGTCTTTGGCCACTTTGGTCAGGCTGTGCTTGTGCTGGGAAGCAGAATTCTATGTGAACATGGGTGGCCCATGGGTGGCTCTTTGTTGGAGTAATGAGCTGGGCATAGGAAAACAGAACAAGGCAGGATATTGAGAAAAAAAACTTTTGAAGGCCTCACAACAAAAGAAACGGGGCTGCAAAGAGAATGGGTGGTAGAAGAAAGGCCATCATGGACTCTTGGGGACACTCTTGTGGCCTGAGGGTGCCTGCCCAGGGCTGTGAGTGCTGGAGATGTGTGTTTGGTGAACTGCCAGTTTCCTGCTGCTTGACCAACCAAGGGTAATGCCCTTCAGTGCCCCCAGCTGGTGAGCTTTCCTTTCCTCTCCCATGCACATCTCAATGACCTGTATGTAGCTTCAGGGCTCCCTTGTGATTGGTTATAGAGTGAGGCTGAACAGCACAGTGTGGGGGTTCAAGACTGAGTCCCGGTCTGGCCTCTGGACCACAGACATCTGGACTTATCTGCATCTTGGTCCTTCTATGGAAAATGGCCGGAAGCAAGACCCTTTCCTGTTTACCTCTTGTTAAAAGAGTAAATATTTGAAACAATTTTGTAAATGAAAGCATTCATATTTGTTTTAATCAGCTTTTTTGCTGCTGTGACTAAGAGACCCAACCAGAACAATTGTAAAGGAGGAAAAGTTTGAGAGCTCACAGTTCAGAGGTGTTAGTCCATACAAGGCTGGCTCCATTCCTCAGGGCTCAAGGTAAGGTAGAATATCATGGAGGAAGACTGTGGCAGAGGGAAGCAGCTCACATGCTGATCAGAAAGCAGAGAGAGACTCCAATTGCTAAATATAAATTTATACTCCAAAGCCATATCCCCAATTCCCACCTCCTCCAGCCACACCCTACCACTTCAGTTACCACTCAGTTAATTCTGTCAGGGGATCCATTCACCGATTGGGGTAAGACTCTTACAACCCAATCATTTCTCCTCTGAACCTTCTTATATTGTCTCACATGTGAGCTTTTGGGGGACGCCTTACATCCAAACCATAACAATATTTAAAGTTGGGTTTTTTTTTTTTGCAAGACAATTTTTCAAAATTATAGAAAAAAGTTGTTTTCCAAGGACAAGAGAACATTTGATAAACATGTGTGCTGCAGAAGAAAAATAATCCACAGTGTGGAGTTTTTCATTCAAATTTTTGAAGCAAAAAATACCTTAAGTTGTGCACTATTGCCTTAGGAAAGGGAAGGGGAACTGCACAACAGTTTTGAAATAAAGAAAATATTTATCTCTTTTTGCCAGAGAAGAGACCTAATAATCTGGTTATCTAGCTTCTGGCCTCACCTCTGACCTCCCTTGATGTGGGTACTTCCATCATATTCTTCAAGCTTTTATCTCAGCACTCTGCTTCCTGGATCCTAAGAAGCAATCCTGGTGAAGGGAATTCTAGAATCCTGTTTTGTCTGCTATGCTTCTGGCCTGAAGAACATATCATTTCTCTAAAATTTGGAGTCAAGGTCCTAGCAGTTCTCTGCAGACCCCAAGAAAGATGAACTTGCCCTTTCCTTTGGGTGGGATCCTGCGATTGTTGATATGGATGGTCAACTTGATTGAATTAGGAGACTTTGTGTGTGTGTGTGTGTGTGTGTGTTGATGAGGGTGTATTGACATGTGAGACAGGAAACTGAGAGGGTAGACCCATCCTAAATATGGGTGGTGTGGCTGAATGGGCTGGGGCCAGGATGGAAGGAGGGTCAAGGGAGGAGGAAGCCAACATGGATGCAGGTGCCATTTTTCTCTCTCTCTCAGGTGGGTGTTTGGGTTGCTGCTATGACTCCAGGGAGTTCCCAGGCCTGCAGTCCCAGACTGGGGCTGCATCAGTGGTCACTTTTCTTCTCAGGCTCTGGCTTTTTGGACTGAGAAGCTACTGGTTTCCCCAGCTCTCCAATCTGCAGGTGGCCACTGTGGAACTATCTAGTTTCTGATTCTGTAAGCCAATCTAATAAGTCCCCTTTTATAACTGTAACTATAACTAAACTATATGTGTATGTATATATGTATGTATATACATATATAGTATATGTAATATGTATGTGTGTGTGTGTGTGTGTGTATCTCCTGTTGGTCCTGTTCCTCTAGAGATCCCTAATACAGATCCCAAAGGGCATGGTGTCTTAAAAACATCAATCTTGGCATATATGAGCCAAGACCTTTTGCACAGCATTGAAGGAACAGAGGAACATGGAGATTGGAGAGAACTCTCCCTGCAAGGGCAGCAGGTCTCATCTCCCATCCTACCTTCCTTCATAGCCTTTGATTGTCTCTGAGGATTTCCTTCAGATAAACTGACTGTACTTAAAATGCATCTTCCACTCTGCAGGGGGCATTGTGCTGGGGGTCCGACTCAGGGTCTTGTGCATGCTAGGCAAGCACTCTACCAGTGAGCCACATCCCCATTCCCACATCCTTCATTCTCAATTTTGGGAAATGATTTTGCCTTTGATGATGTCTATTTACTTTGATGGTACTTTCAGAGTGAATATTTGCATGAGTAGGAATTAAAAACAGTCTGAGGTTTCAGGCTGTGATCTGCTCACCAAAATCAACAGTGTTTTTAATACTGGGAACAGAACATCACTCTCTGAGCCTCCCTGGTCTTAGTGTGGCCATGGGACTAAAATTTTTCTCTAGCACAACATGAGAGGAAATGGAACAATCAATCCTGCAACACATACTCTAAGTTTGACTCCCCTTCCAGATGACAGGGACCATCACCCCAGCAAGACCTTGGGAACCAAGTTGTAGAGGAAGAATGACCGTTACCCTGGATTCCTTCATGGCTAAGTAGAAGAGACACACCCTACTCACTCCTGAGCCTGCTGCAAGAGTGGTTTATTAAACACTACTGGAGTCAGGAGATCCTGCAGGTAATGCTTTAATCCATGCCTCAGTTTGCTCACCTGTAAAATGGACAAAATACCCTGAAGGATTCTTGAACAGGAAGAGAAATATGTGATGACCACCCATTATAGTGCCTGGCACACAATGAGGCCTACAAAATCTTGATTAAATAGATACCTTTGTTCTTCAAGGCTGTTGTAATATTTAAATGAAATAACCTTTTTTTGTGAAGAGATGTTGACATGGAAGAGCGAGTTGATGGAAGTCAGAAGATGCTTCTGTGGCCTCTTCTTCCATCTCATTCTAAGATGCTTGAATAGTCTGTGTAACTATTCACTTGTCTGGGATAATGGAAGAAGGCTATTGTAGACATAATGGAATCCATAATAATGTAATGACTTTCGTTTAATTTATAGCTCCTCCTCAGTGTCTCCCCCAAACCCAAAGCCAAATGACATAGTCAAATGAAACCAGTGGAAAAGAACTCAGTCTCCTGGATTGGCATTTACCTGACACAGCTGGCCCCTGTGAGGACAATGGGAAGTAGCTGCTCTCACATTGCAGGGTGTCTTGAGGATTGAACCCAGGCCTTGTGCATGCTAAGCATGAGCTGAATCACTGAGCTACATCCTCAGCCCTTACATACATGATTGTTATGGTTTAGATATTAGGTGTCTCCTGAAAGCTCAAGTGTAAGGCAATGAAAGATAGTTCAGAGGAGAAATGATTAGGTTATGAGAGTCTTAACCCAATCAATGAATCAATCCCCTGATGAGATTAACTGAGTGGTGACTGAAGGCCAGCTGGTAGTGGCTGGAGGAGACGGGTCCCTGGAGGTGTGGCTTTGGGATATATATTTTGTATCTGGCAAGTGGAGTCTCTCTCTCTGATGTCTGATCACCACATTAGCTGCTTTCCTCCACCACACCTTTCTACAATGTTGTTCAGCCTCACCTTGAACCCTAAGGAATGGAGCCAGCTGCCTATGGACTGAGACCTCTGAAAACAGTGAGCCCTCCAATAAACTTTTCCTTCTCTAAAATTGTTCTTGTCAGGTCTTTTTAGTCACAGCAGCTGAAAAGCTGACTTAGACAGTGATCTTTAAGATCTTATCCAACTGTAAATCCCATGATCTTTAAGAAAATGACTGGAATTTTAGTTTCACTCTTTTTGACTCCTTTGCCTTCCCAGGACTGTTACCTGAGGAATTGCACATCAGAAAGAAATCCTCCCCTGCCTCCAAAGGCACAAAACAAGAAGAAGAAAGAGATGCAATAACCTCCAGTCCTTGAATAATTCATTCATAAGCAATTTAGCCTGTTAGTAGAGGGAAAATCAAGTCATTTTAACCAAACAATCTATCCTTTTAGTGGAGTTCTGAATTCATTTTGCATTTGGGTTGGGTACAGGATGACTCCATGAACAGGTGTCAGCATTTTTTTCTTTCCCTTTTAAATATGGCCCCATTTCTTGAAAGGCCTTCAGATATCATCAAAGAATAGTCTTTGGACTCAGACGGACCTGGATTTGAACCTGGGGTGGGTTACTTAAAACTTCAGATCACCTGTCTTCTTACTATCAAGTGGGGTTAAATATATACCTCATAGAGATGTCTGGAGGATTTCGTTAGAAATAATTAATTCAAAGGGACTGGAAGGTACGGGTACCCAGCCCTCCCTGGCTCCTTCCACTCCCCTTTCTCCTGCTAAAACCATTCAAGGTCCAGGTTGCGGGGCTGCGTTCTGTGGCTGGTGACCGGGGATGCCCGTGCCACATAGAACCACCACAGGGGACCCTGGTGGGTCAATGAGCAGCAGCAGGACTTCCTTCTACTGAAAAATTATGACCACTGATCCTGAAAAAAGCCTGGTTATGCCTGCAGAGTATAGAAACCTCAAAAGATGACCAAAGTTCTGAGGAAGCTATATTTAACCAGCCTCCTGCTGTTCAACAAGCTTTCTGGGCAGGTTTATTTCAGGCCCTTTGTAGCCTTCCCACTGACCTTCTGCATCCCTTTTGGCATTTATCTCCATCTGCTGGTACAGTGTGAAAGACACTCCTTCCACGAGGACTCAGGCATCTCTGGTAGCCTTCATGTTTCAGCCCGGTGCACAGGTTCAGGCCTGAGCCAAGATCTTGGAGGAAGAAGAGTCAGTTTCTGGATGACAAGAGAAATAGGGCTTTTTATTCAGTAGGGAAGCATAAATTTTCTATCTCAGCATGAGTTGTTTCCTCCTTCTTCCTCTTCAAGTCAGTTTCTCTTTAAAGTGAACTTCTGGCATGGGAACTGTGAAGTTAGAGCTCTGGAGAACAGTACCAATCCACTCCACACATAGATCATGAAACCTTCAGCATTATTTAATTGGCTCACAAATCTGCAATTCGGGCAGGGCTCAGTGACACTTATAGGCAGCACCACCTGAGGCAGCTTGAAGGCCACACAAGGACACTTGGTTGGGGAGTGGGATTGCTAAAAGACTGGCTCCCTTGTCTATCCCACAGGGCATGTGGCAGTGGCTGGGACCTCATTTAAGGCTGAGAACTGCACTTACCTTTTCTATGTGGCCACCTGGCTCCCTGGGTGCTGAGAGCCATAGCCAAGTAGGAATGACACATGGCATTTTGGTTTGAAAGGTGACCCTGCTCAGGGATTAGGGTGGCTCCGGGTTTAGGGTAGATCCTGCTGGGAATAGGGCGGCTCCAGGATTAGGGTGGATCCTGATCCTGCTGCCTCAAGCACCGGCTCCTTTGGAGTTCCCGTTGAGTTCTTGCAGGATTCTGAGAAAATTGGTGCACAGAGCTGGGTAGAGGCAGTGTGTTCCCAGAACGTGCGTGTAGAGTGCCGGTGAGAGTTCGAGGAATAAAGAGTTGCTGTTTGAATCTACAAGGCTCTGTGGTGGCTCAGTTATTCTGTGCCCATCCAGACTGTGGCATTTGGCGGCCTGTATGGGGAACGCCTGAAGCTTGGAGGTAAGTGAAATTGCTCGCCCCTGAAGG